TCTGGGGATGGGAGGTGCTCTGTGGGCTGGCCCACAGCGGCCATGCTGTGTGGCCCAGGAGTACAGATGGGGGAGAGGGAGGCCAAGGCTGGGCTGGCTCCTGTGGGTGCGTGGGAGTGGAGACAGCAGTGGAGCCAGGGGTTGGGGTTTGAGTCAGGGAAGCCACTTATCAGTGTCAGGAAAGAAAGTAGAGTCCCATCCCCAGATGGCCACTGCATTAGTGATATGACTACTCCCACTGATGACTGGTATGGCTACTTCCAGTGGCTCTCCCCTGTGCTTGGCATCCCCAGTGGTAACTGTGAGGATAGCATCCCTTTTCTCTCCCCCCCTCCTCTTTCCATGTGATGAAAAACAATCAAATTCTACGCCTAGCCCGTTTTACTGACACAACCAAACCCTGGCCTAGCTTTAAGTTAGGATAAGACTAAGCTGCATACAAAATCAGTGGTCCTAGCTCTAACCATTTAGGGGGAGTTCTAGAGCAAATGGACTCAAGACAGACATACAAGTCTCTAATATATGTATATAGATTTTATTGCATAAAACTAAGATATCAGGTGCTTGAGAATGGGAGTGGAGACAGCAGTGGAGCCAGGGGTCGAGGTTTAAGTCAGGGCCAGTACACATCTTCTTAGAATATCTTATGGCAATATTTTTCCTGAAATGCCATGTTGATTTTTTCACTTATTAAAAGGTATTCTCACTACTTTGGGCCCTTATCATGCACCCTGATCTACACATAGGCACATCTGCATTAGTAGCAGCTTTACATACATTAATTAAAAACATTTACTTCACTGTTTTCTTCCACTGATTAGTAAATTCACATGCAACAATATCATCATTTGAACTCAAAACTGTTCCTTTTAAGCAGTGAGAGTAAACCACGAAAGGCCAGAGTACAAAAGTAAAAAAGTACTTTTATCTTTCTCAAACAGCAATAAATAGCAAAATATAAATGTACCTAAAGGTTTGTCTCTTAATTCTGGATTATGGATCATTTCTACTTGCGCATAAAAGCAGTCCAGGTCAGTGTGCACAATTACCCTATGTGCTTTACTTCCTGCTGGTACAATCTTGTCATGACCTGCAGCAATGAAATATACAACTAAGTTTAAAGAAAATAACATTCTTACTATTGTCAATAATACAGGAAAGGATCTCATACAGGAAATCTCTGCTTGGAAACCGAGCACTGTGGGGCGAAGTACAGTTATAAATTGTACATTAATTCCATTGGAATTTGGAAGCCACTTAGCACAGTGGTTTGGTATCAGTAAAAGGAACTGCTGGCTACATCTTGAAGATCTATTTTAGATTACCACTGCCACCTCACTTCTTTTTTATTGAATAATTTTATAAGGTTATAGAATTACTGATAGAAACTGTATAATGATTTTTCTGCTGTTGAGAAGCATCACAAAAGTGGTAACATCAAACCACCTTTCTGAGAACATACCCACCTAGTATCACTACAATTTCAAGCTTTTCAGATTTCCCCCCTTCTGTTTTGTTTTTTGATTAAACGAAATTCACTGTAACTTATATGAAAATGTGTTGAAATGTGCAACATCTGCATCAATCCAAGGTTTCTCATTCCATTGATTTTTTTTGCATGTTCCTATTGTAAAACAGGTGGGTGACATAGGACTGAGCAGCACCATTTTCTATCTAGATACTATTTATATGGCACTTCACACAGATGTGATGCTTTCCAAACAAATAGATTTGGAAGGATTAAATTTGTATAGGAAAATATTGATTTCACCACACACACACACACCAACAAAAAATATTTCCATTGATAACTTAAAACGTACAAAGTAACAAAAATTCTGTTTATGATTATGATCATTTGTTTTAGCCATCATAAAGGTTTAACTGTTCACATCTCACCCTACTCTCTCCAAATTGTCTGTCACCACCCTCACCGTCTGAACCCACACTCTAATTTCTACAAAAGTGAAAAATTAAAAATTGCTAAAACCTGGAAAAACGCTTATAAACATAGCTAATAGCAATGAAATTATAAAAAGGGTCGAGTTCTAACAAGACCTATAACTGAATTAATCCCCAAACCTCTCTTGGGGGGGGGGGGTCTTAGCGGGGGACACTGGGAGAGGCATTGTGAGGCGGGGGTCAATGGGCCTTGAGGGGGGAAACAAGGGAGAGAGGAGGGAACAGAGGACGCTGGGAAGAGTGGGGTCATGGGGGGAAATGGGGGAGCGGGAAATGGGGGAGCACTGGGGGACAACCCAGGAAATGGGGAAACGCTCGGCGGGGGGGAAGGAGGGAGAAAGGTGGGCGGTGACGGGACAGGACTCCGGGGGCCGGATCCCTGCGGGAATGTCCCAGTTCCGGGCGGGACAAACACGCGTATCCCAGAGACCCAGCTCCCGGCATGTGTCTGACTTTGTGGCCCGGAGGCTTCCCGGCTCTCCCCGCCGACAACTGCTCCAGCCCGCCAACCCCTTCCCGGTGGGTCGCAGGCCGCGCGGCCCGTGTTTACATTGTGCTCGGGAGCCTCTCCCGGGCCCCGCATGGATCCCGGGGCCGCCAGGCTGCGGGCAAAGCCAATCCGGTTCTGCCTCCTCCTCCTCCTCAGGGGGCCCCATGCCGCCGCCGGGCGGTCACTGGCATTGGCGGGAGAACGTGCCCGCGCGGCAGTGGGGGCTGGCCGGCGCCGCAGGGCGGTAGACGTAGCTGAGCCACTGCTCCCTTCCCCATGAATCCATCCGCCCAGCGACACCCGCTGGGATGGGCTACTGCGTGGTGTGCGTAGTGACGTCAGCCCCCCTCCCCGCCAGCCGTGCAGGGATGGGGGCAAACCAGGGCGGTACAACGCTCGTCAGGCACATAAGGGCGGGGCAGGAGACTAGGGCTCTCAGCCACAGCAGCCAGGCTGGGTGACACGCCTCGCCCTGCCCTGCGGCACCACCGCTTACTCAGCCAAGTCTGGCTGGCGCGGTCCTAGTACAGGCGGACATAGGAAAGCCACCTTCACTCCCCTGGCAGGCGTCCTCCGGTGCCTCGATGTTATTGCGACTATTAATATGAGGAGGCCACATAAGGACCTGGAGAGATGCATGGCTAGCCTGTATAGACAGCAACAGGGACGTGGAGTCGGCATGAAGAGAGGCGGGTTATCGCAGGGCAGCTAGTTGGAGATTTAAGCATTCGGGCATTATTGTGCCTCAGTTTTAAGGATGGGCACACAAATGTTATTAGGTCCTCATGGAGGCATCACTGAAGATGTACGTTTTTAGGCGAGATCGAAGTGAGGGGAAGCTGGCAGACAAGCAGGGGTGCTGAACCTGTGGAACCAGATAGGCAAACTGGTATATTATGGAAACCACTTCAAGTCAGGGGGTACTGCAGTTAGGGATGTTAAATTTAGATTAATCGAATCATCAGTGCAATTTGCATCAACTATTCAATTAGTCCATAAGGACACCTCCACCTTTGAAGTGTAGCAACAGTCCCAGGGCTCTTTGTACACTTCAGAGGGGAAAGTGTTGCAGGTAGCATGGTACCAGTGCCAGACTCAAGCAGTCCCCTGCTGATTCCATGCTCCCCACAGAGTTTAAAAGCAGCAGGGTGGCATGGAGCCTGGGGGCAGCTGAGTCCCCAGTTGACCCCAGGCAGCGTTTCAACATGGGAGTCCAGCATCTGGCTCCGGAGTCGACACTAAGCTGCCACTTCCAAGCACCCCATCTTCCCCCCCTTCTTATAGAGGCAGCAAGGGGGTGAAGCTACTGGTCGACTAGTCTTCACATCCCTAACTGCAGCACCCCTGCACTCTTAGGCTACGGCTAGACTGCAGCTTTTTCCCGGGATACTAGACGTACCCGCAGTCTAGATGTACCCTTTGAATCCCAGCAGTCTTCAGAGACGTGTGGGAATGGCTTGCTGGGCATTCTGGGAGTTGTAGTCCACAGCGTGCGCAGACGAGGGAGGCGAACTACAACTCCCAGAAAGGCATGCGACCGCGTGCTCCTGCGCAGTGAGTCAAGCGCCATTTTGGAAGAGGGGGTGTCGTGCTTTGAACTAGCGGGCGGCAACAGTCGGTGTGGTGAGGAGAGCTGTCGTCTGCCGCGGGGCGTCGACTCAGAATTGCAGCCTCCACGCCCGGAAGATCTCTGGGGAGAAAGGGGCGGCGTTGGGGATGGAGGGCTTGGCACAGCCCTGCATCGTGACGTGACCAGCTTGCGCCGGGGAGGGAGGTAAGTTTGGGGGAGCTGGAGAAAGCGGGCACGGTACATCTCGGGGACCCCCCCCTGCCACTGCGTCTGGCTGTTTGCAGGGTAGTTGCTGTGTTGGTTCCAGGGCATTAGAGACACACAGTGGGGGTGAGATTATCTTTTACTGGACCCACTTCGGGGGTGAGAGACAATTTTTTAACTGTGACTCCAAAGCTTCACTTGCTAACAGGAGTTGGTCCAGTAAAATACATTACCTCCTTCTCTTGCTCTGTTTGGCTAATGGTCATCCTCTCTGCTTCCTTGTCCTGTGCCGAGGCGCCCACCTGAATCCTTGAGTAGCCGTTTCAGTAAAAACGTTTTAAGAGAAATTGTGTAACTTCCAATTATTTGCTGGACCGTGCGGATCAACATTTCTCCTTTGGTATTGACACCATGGAGTTCCACCAGACGGCAGCTCTTCCTTGGCAAATCAGTTCCTTCCCTCCCTCGTGCTGTCACAGTTTACACATCAATACAATTTGTGGTATCCTCTTAATAAAAATACTAAATCTTTCCCATATGGGTCCCAGTTAGATAGTTTGTCCTGTACTCCTCGAGATGCCCTCAATTAGTTGATTGCATCTAATTCTAATCCTCGAGATGCCCTCAATTAGTTGATTCATTTTATGAGGCTTTGATTTTCAAAGGTGCTTTAAGGGAGCTAGGTGTCTATTTTCCATGGGATTTAACACCTTTAAGCCTTTTTGAAAATCCTAGCTTCAGAATTTAGCACTATTCTACAATTATGAATTTTCAGTCAGTTTTCAATCCATTAGATTATTATAGCCAAGCCAATTTAAATTAACTTTAATTGCATAGATAAGAGGATTTAAGAAGCTCTTACAGCCTGTAAAATGCCCCCCACAACTGTAGTTGGCAACGTTCTTTAATACTGCATTCCCAATTATTTCTGCAGTGATAGCGATTTACTACCTTGGTATTGTCAATTGACTGACTTGCTTATATGTTAAAGCCATTTTTACTAGTCTGTTCAAGTTTGCTTCATTAATTTTTGGGTCTTCTGTGCTAGTAGTGATGTTATAGAAGGATTTCTTTCTAGGATGTTCCAGCTGAATCCAGTGGTCTGGCAGACTTTCATCTGTTCATCTGCTAAATGCCCCTCTTGCTAAGCCAGGATCTTTCAGTATTTAATGTGGCCAGTACAGAATATGGGGTGCCTTTTGTATATGAACATTCAGATTCTTTCCCCTTTTCTTTGTCCAGATGCAGACTTATTTTTGTTCTGTGGTCTTTGTTTTGTTGCCTTTGTTTTTCTGATAATGCCTACTCATAGGTGTATGCATGCATTTATATATTTGTTTATTTGTAAAGCTCTGCAGTCGGTAGCTAGATTGACTATCTGGATTACAGTTTAAATACAAATCTTCAAACGCTGAATGGAATCTGTTAGCTGCACTATTTAAAACAGGAGTGGAGAACGTCAGGCCTGCGGGCTCTACAACACCAGAGCCCTGCAGCTATCAGTGACTGTTTTGCCTTTTCCATTCTGGCCCCGGCCACTTCCCGCAGATCTCATTGCTCAGGAATGGCAAACCACAGTCACTGGTATCTACGATCATCTGTGCCTGTGGACGTTCAAGTAAACAAACCATCTGGCGCCATAACAACCATATGCGGTTTGTAGGCCAGAGGTTCTTCACCCCGATTTAAAAGCTATCAAAATTGGTAAAAGTCTTACTGGAAATTAATAAACATGTTGATGCATGACAATTAAATACATCCTCTCATACATTATACTTCTGTACTTCCAAATATCTGTATTACTATAGTGATTGGTTATATTTTTGTTTCTTTATTCAGAATCTTCAGAAAGATGAGAGGGGATTCTACTAATCATTTGGATAAAAGCTATGGCATGTTCATTTGAAAAAGACAGCATTTTCTCACCTGAATCGACTGTGTCTTCTCTCCTAGCAAGCTGCAGCCTTAACAATAGTAATTCCCACTCAAACAGCTCAATTCAGTACAAAGACAAGGTGTATGACTCTGCATCTCGGGCTTTGGAGGCCTATATTGAAGATTTTAATCAAAGTCTTATGTCTTCAGAAGTTAGCACTGGAAAAATCTGCATAGGTCAGAGTACTCCTAAAGATAAGTCAGCAAAGTGTGGTTCTGTACAAAAATATGGTACGTTTCCTATAAATTAAGCTTAAATTATGGTTCCCCCACTTACCTGCTTATCGACTAGTCAATGGAAATTCCATTGACTAGTTGACTAAACTAAATTTAACTTCCCTAATTTGAAATATGCTTTCATTTACAGTCCTATACTGACATCAAAACACTTATCTGAATGGTGCCCTGTTTTGGTTAGATGAACAACAGAAGATGCTAGATTAAGCAATAGGCTTAAACTGCAGCAAGGGAGGTTTAGGTTGGACATTAGGAAAAGCTTCCTAATTGTCAGCATGGTGAAATACCAGAATAATTTGCATACAAAGGTTGTAGAATCTCCATCACTGGAGATATTTAAGAGCAGGTTGGATAGACATCTATCAGGGATGATTTGGATGGTACTTGGTCCTGCCGTGAGGGGGACTGCACTTGGTGACCTCTAGATGTTCTTTCCAGTTCTAGTACTCTATGAATATCTGATTTCCTCCATAACCACTAGGGATGTTAAAATGTGTTTATCAAAGTAAATGTGTAACTGCTGAAAATTCAGTTGTTACAAGCAGGAAGGGGGCAGTTGGCTCCCTGGGACCCAGTGTGCACAGGGAGCTAGCTTAAAAGCCAACTCCTCACATGCCCCAGCTCTTGCCCCCCCCACCCCCACCGCGCTGCTGCCTTTGACAGCAAGGCGTGGGGAAGGGGCGGGGGCGATTCAGGCATGCTAACTGATGAACCTTGTAAACAGTTACACATTCAGTTCCCTAATAACCACTCCCCTCTACATTTCTACAGAGGTAATATGAGTGTTTTGAATCATTGGGAGTAAGACAAAAGTTTTAAATGATTTTATTTTTTTCATTTTAGAGAGAAGTGGAGTTAAAATTGACACTGATGCTTTGAAACATCAGTACAAAATATTCACACTGTAATTTTGTAAAAAAAAAAATGTAATGTGCAAAATACATCGTAGGTTTTTCGAATACATAATTTTGATGCATTTTTAAAATTTAGAAAAATGTATAAAAAACAGTTTCTTTGTTTTTTCAGCTTTGGAAGACTTTAACCAGCAAGTGAAACTAAACTCAATTGCTTCACCTTTTATAAGACAAACTCTTTGTGACCCGGACTTAATTAGTCTCACCACAGATGATCTATTAGCATTTCCAGCAGATGGATCACTGCCTTTTATCTACAGGACTCCTTCTGGGTTAGGGCTTCAAAGTGGCAAGTGGATTAGGAAGTCACTGAAAAAATCGGCCTTCTATCCATATCAGAATTCCTCATTTGATGTTGAAAAAGACTTTGGTTTCCAAGACAATGCTGTGGATACTCAAAATCAGAATAGAGACATTGGCAAAGAGAAATACAATGTATATAAATCTCACAAATATCATTCTTTATTTTCTAAAGAAAATTCAGGAGATCACTGTTTCCAACAACACTCTATACCTGTTTCTGACAAGAATTATCCAAGGTGGCTTACTAGCCATAAGTCTGACTTGAATGTCTCTGGAATAAGTAGCATTCCTGATTTCAATTACCCAATCTGGCTAAAGAGTAATAACCTTTTATCTGATTCAGCTAATCAAAGCTTTATTCAAACACTTAACATACAAGAAGAATTTTCCTCTTCAAAAAATTGTGAGAATCTGAAAAAAACTCACATTGTGGATAAATTGAACTGCAATTCTTTTGAACAAAATAGTTATGTGGATCCAACAGATGACAATGAAGTAACAGGAAATTGCAGCTATGACAGACCAAGTGCACACTTCCAACCTAGCAATGTTCTCTCAAGACAGTCTAAACAGCCATTCAGAGGTAACTACATTATTCATGGTTTGTTCGTGAATGTTTTTTGAGAATGTTAAATGCAAAATGTAACTTTTAGTCACACGTGACAAAACATGGTCCTGCTATATTGTGCAAAGTGAACCACTGCACAGTAAGGCTGTTCATATCATTCACCATCGATGAATAGTAAAAAATGTATCTAATAGTAAAAAATTCATGAGTAACATAGTTCTTCTGATCTAACCTCCAGTTTAGACAGCTCTGTGTCAGTAAGAGAGCTTCTGGCCTCAGCATAGCTACTGCTTCTCGGGGAGGTGAATTAACTGTACTGAATGGTGAAGCTTTCCTGTCAGCATTGTAATATCTTCACTAAACTGTTACAGCAGCACTGCATTGTTGTTCATGAAGACAAACCCTTAGTACATTTAAGGTAAACCAACTAAGGGTCTGAAGTCAGTATGCATAAATTAAAGCGTATTTAACCTTACTCACCCACTTACTGGATTCTGTTGTTCAGGAGTAAAATGACCTTGGTACCACATCAATTTACAGCTGTTCTACATCCAAAATTTAGGTTAACCTAACTGCCATTCAGTGGTGTGAAAAATTCATATCCCTGGAAGACATAAATAAGTTGACTTGAGTCCTGGTATAGACACAACTAGGTCAACACAAGAATTGCTCAGTCAATCTAGCTCCTGCCTCTTGGAAGGTGGATTTAAAAAACTGGAAGTTTAGCATATGTGTACACTCTGCAGCTACAGCAGCACAGCTATAACACTATAGTTGTGCCATTGTAGCGTCAATAATATTGACATCTCCTAAGTTAGAATAAACAAAGGGCACTTTACTTCTAAATGAGAGTACCCATCTAGAATTAACACATTTTAACTTATGCACCTTGACTTCGCATTTCTAGCAGTTTGTCTTTGTGGCCAGCTTCTGCCAGTTTCTCTCAAAACAACAGCAGCAGGCCCTGCATTGAGCATATCTGTGATCAGCTGTAACTGGAAAAAATAGAGGTGAGCTGGACATTGCTTATCCCCATACCCTCTAAATGGGAACAGGAGTCATACCTTATACCTACAAGGGCATAACATGGGGCAGTAGCTCCCCCAACTCTTTAGCTAAGCTTGACCCACAACTACTTTGTGCTCAGTTTCCAGTCCTCTCTGGGGGCACGATGTGGAGCAGGAGCTCTTTCAATTCTTAGGATAGGGAACAGCTTGCTGAGCTGGACTCCTTTCATATATCCCCCAGCATGTGGTGTCAGTGGCCCATCCACTTCAGCTTTTTCCTGCTGCTCGAAATGTAGCTGTAAATTGTTCATGGGAAGCATCCTATTGAGTATTTGATGACTAACCACTTTAGTGAGCATTGTTAAAGGGTAGAAGTCTGTGCTGCAGTGGTAAGGCTTCAGCATTCACATAGATGGTAATGTGTAGTTGGGATGGGAATTATTTAATAAATAGGAAATTCATATAAAATCTAATTTAAAATATTTTAGATGGCAAAGTCAAGTCCTCTGAATTTAGGAAATGTTAGATTTATGGATGTTGCCACAATTTTTGTTTACCCCCATTTATGTGTCTGTTTTATAATGCTGTTTTTAATTATGATCATGACTTTTTTCTCCCAAAAAGATATGTACCTCACTCAGTTCAGAGGACAGTTGGATAGGTTTGCTGATTTAGGATTGTATGTGAAATCATAAATCCACTACTTATTCATTTTTGAGTGCTTGACTTTGCAACCTAACTAACGCAGTTATATGTAATTACATATGGTGTCAAGTATCAGAGGGGTAGCCATGTTAGTCTGAATCTGCAAAAGTGACGAAAAGTCCTGTGGCACCTATAGATTAACAGCTTTATTGGAGCATAAGCTTTCGTGGGCAAAGACTTACTTCATCAGATGCATCTGATGAAGTAGGTCTTTGCCCACGAAAGCTTATGCTCCAATAAATCTGTTAGTCTATAGTTGCCACAGGATTTTATGTATGGTGTGTGTACTAGCATATTTGGAGGGCTTGAAGCATCTATTATATAACAATAACAGGGAAAATTCACCTGTTTGCCAGCCATTTAAGATTCCTCAATATTAATGTAGATTTGATTGAATGATTTGAATATCAAAATACTTTAAAAGTTAAGGAATCTTGAGTGCTGTATTCTATACATGAGCTATGAAAGGAAAACTCTGACTGCCTGGAAAGATTGTAGCTGTGAGCATCTGTTCATTTTCCTTTCAGTTCGCATGTACAGTTGAACAGTTATATGCCTTACAGCCATGGTCACCAACCAGTCAATCACGATCGACTGGTCAATCACGAGGCATTCGGGTCCCCCCACCCCCCATTTTCCCCCTCGACCAGTCAATTGCGAGGCATTCTGGGCCTCCCATGTCCTCCCACCCCCAAGAAGCCCCACTACCTATCTGCAGCTGCGCATCACTTCCAGGGGTTCCGGAAATGCGCTGGCTGCATCCTTGCCCCAGGTCTGTGGCATGCTGGAAACTTACCGGGGGCACATGCGCGGACTTCCCTGCTCCACAGGAGGGGGGAGTCAGGCCTGGAGGGGGTCTGTGATGGGGGCTTCCCTGCTCTGTGGGAGGCGCGCACCAGCCCTGGAGGAGGCATGCGACAGGGCTTCCCACCTCTGCAGGGGTGGGGAGGGGGAGTCCTGGGAGGAGGCGGGTGCAAGGGACTCTCTGCCCCCTCTCCCCAGCCTCAGAAACCTGTCCCCAGTGGCATCCTGTCCCCAGCCTCAGAAACCTGTCTCCAGTGGCACTCTGTCCCCAGCTCTCCCGGCACCCTGTTCCCTCTCCCCAGCCCCCTCTCCTCATTACCCAGTCCCCTGTTCCCTCTCCCCAGCCTCAGAAACCTGTCCCCACTGGCACCCTGTCCTCTGCTGAAGCACCCACTAGCACCCTTCCCCAGTACTATGTCTCCTGCTCCCACCAACACAGTTGGGGCCACATTAGTGAAGCTTGGGAGGGAGGGGGGCTGGAGGAGGGTTTTTTTTTTCATCTCACTTGTGTGGCCCCAACTGACTTTTCTGTGAGTCAGTGACCCCTGACTCAAAGCAGGTTCCCTGTCCTTCTCAAAAATAAAGACAATGCAGAAACTTTTTGTGTTTGACAAAGTATTTTTTTTTAAAATGAAGCTTAGCCAACAAACCCCCAATTGGGGCCAAGCCCCCAACTGGCCACAGCATCATAACACTCCTGCATTCCTCTTTCCCCCAGAACCGCATCCACACTGCAAATCTGTGTCCTGAGCCCATCATACTCCCAGCCCAAACCCCTGCACCCTCACATCCACAAGCCCATGGCTTGCTCAGTACCCCAACTCGCCACCTGACCCCAACACTCTCCACCCTGAAGCCCCCTCCCCGAGCCAACATCCCCTTCTCCATCTCCTCCTGCATCCAAAGTCCCTCCCAGAGCTTGCACGTCTCACCCCTTCCCACACCCAAATCCCTCATTCCCACCCCAGAGCCCATACATCCTGTCTCAGCCTAGTGAGGGTACAGCTAGACTGCAGGAGTTTTTCCGATATTCCAGAGGCATCCCGGAAAAACTCTTCCTTGTCCAAACATGCTCTTTCGGTAACCACTGTATTCCTCATACAACGAGGAATAAGGGGGCTTCTGAAAGAAGGGGTTTTTCTGACATTTGGCCCAGTGTAGACAGGCCAAATGTTGGAAAAACTTCTTCCTAAAGAAGAATTGGGGGGGAAAAAGCAGCAGTGTAGCCATACTATGAGAGTGTATAAGGGCTGGGGATAGCAAGTAATGGAGAGGGGGAGAACGGAGAGGGTGGACATTCAAGAAAGAGGTGGAGTTTTGGGGAAGGGATGGGGTAGATCTTGGCTTGTTCTGCCATTTAAAAAGTGATCTTAGGTGTAAAAAGGTTGGAGACCATTGCCTTACAGCCAAAATAAAGATCTGCAAAGGCACTGAAGCTGGAGGTCTCCCCACTATAAGCAGGAACCAGCTTTCAATACGGCATTCTTTGGGAGGGATGCTCACATTTTGGAATTCTCCTATCCTAACTCTACCAGACTAACCTTCAGGATGTGGTACAAGAAAAATCTTTTCTCCCAAGTGTTAGGGTGTGTTGAAGGTTTATCTTATCTTTTGGGATGTATTTTATGTTGGGAAGAGATTTTTCTGTATTTGAGATTTTTCTGAGAATTTAGAGCTTAGAATAGAGGCCTATTTGTTTTATAAAATCATCTGTCAAGATTTTAAAAAATAGTGCCTAGAATTAGTCTCATAGGGTGTATCTAGACTACATGGCTCCGTTGTTGGAGCCATGTAAAGTAGTTTACTCAACATAGTCAGTGAAGCGGGGATTTAAATAATCCCCGCTTCATTCAAATAAAAATGGTCACCACGTTGTGCCAACCGACAATCAGCTGATCCAGCACAGCGCAGCAGTCTAGACATGGAGCAGTCGACAAGTGAAGCTTTTGTCAACCGCTCCTGTAAGGCTTCCCTTGTTGACTGCGCCGCATCTAGACTGCCGCGCTGTGCCGGATCAGCTGATTGTTGGCACAGCATAGCGGCCATTTTTATTTGAATGTAGCGGGGATTATTTAAATCCCCGCTTCACTGACTATGTCAGGTAAACTACTTTGCATGGCTCTCTCGAGGGAGCCATGCAGTCTAGACACACCCATATGTTCCATATGAAGATGCTTAATTCCATATTTAAGCAAAATTTTAAACACTACATTTTATAATTTTGACAGTAACATCTGAAAGAGGACAGACTATTTCCAGTGTCTTACAAGTCATTTAGAATAAGCCTGAATGGAATAATTGAATAATGAAAGTGAAATCGTTCATTTGAAGAATCTTAGTGTATAGTAATGGGTGGTGGTGTGGTATTTTTTTTTTAGATGACCAGATTGAGTTGCTTATTTTGAAGGCAAAGAGAACTCTAGAGTCTTCTGTTGAGAATTTATCAAGTGCTCTGAAAAATGACAGCCCTTGTACCGTAGATATATTGGAAGGAGAAAGATCGTGGGAAAATGTTCCAGTTGCTTTGTGAGTAAATAAACATTTTAAAAGTCATAATGCAGTCCTGCTCTTCTGGAAGAGTTTTTGCACAAGAAGCTGCCAGTGTAGACATAGCCCAAGTGTTTCAAAATAGATTCCCTGGGGACTTGCTCCAAGATTTTTCTAGGAACAGGTGAAGCGGACTGGCCTGTTCCCTAGATCCTCCTTCTTCCCTTGTTTAAAGATGGGCATTACATTTGCCTTTTTTCTCAATCATCCAGGACCTTACCCGATCACCAGGAGTTTTTAAAGATAATGGCCAGTGGCTCTGTAATTACATCAGCCAACTCACTCAGCACACTTAGATACATTAGAGCTGGCCCCATGGACTTTGGCATGTCCAGCTTTCCTAAATAGTCTTTGACCTGTTCTTTTGCTATTGAGGGCTACTCCTCTCCTTCCCATACTGTGCTGTCTAGAGCAGTAGTCTGAGAGCTGTCTTTGTCTATGAAGACCGAGGCAATAAAAGCATTTAGTACTTCAGCTTTTTCCACGTCATCTGTCACTAAGTTGCCTTCCCCATTCACTTTCTCTGACTAGCTTTTTGTTGCTAAAAATCCTTAGTGTTACTCTTTGCATCCCTTGCTAGCGGCAACTCCAATTGTGCTTTGGCCTTCCTGATTACACCAGTGCATGCTTGGTGGCCTTCCTAGTCATCCAACCACATTTCCTCTTGTAAACTTCCTTCTTGTGTTTGAGCTCAACAGTCAGGTCAATCCAACCACATTTCCTCTTGTAAACTTCCTTTTTGTGTTTGAGCTCAACAGTCAGGTCGCTTGCCATATTTGCTATTCCTTTTGCATATTGAGGGCAAGACAATTGATTGTGGTCATTTCTATAATTTTATATATTAGAAATCTTATGTTCACCTCCCCAGTCTCTTTTCCTCTAGACTAAACATGCCTAGTTCTTTCAACCTTTCTTAGATTGTCTTCAAAACATTTTATCACTTTTGTTACACTCTCTTGTACTACTATCTTTAGTCTGTTCATGTTTTTCTTACTGCGGTGTCCAAAATTGGACATAGTATTGCAGCTGAAGGCCTCACCAGATCCAGGTAGAGCAGACCAGTTTCACGTCTTACATATGATATCTTTGTTAGTACACCACAGAATATTTACCTTTTCACCATAGAATCATGCGGTTGACTACATTTCAAATTGTGACCCGCTATAACCCAGCAGTTCTTTTCTGAAGGCATTTGTTTCCTACTTCATATTTTAAAATTGATATTTTTTGTCTCCCTCGTTATATTTGTCTCTTTAATTGTATATTATTGGTGTCAGAACACTTCTCCAATTTATCAGTATCATTCTAATCCTGTTCTTTACACCCTCTGCCAACTACTGTTGTCTGCATATTTTATAAACATATAAAACAGTAGTTCCCAATGATATAATAATGTACCTTATAGCAATTTGAGTTTGTAAAGCTGTTTCATTCTTTCCATTACATGTCTGTCTTTTTGTTTAGCAAACCTCCGGTGCCTGTACAGTGTGACGAAGTGGAAAACACTCTACAATCTCCCAAGGCTCACATTGTTAATGAATTCCTTGAAGACTGTTTAAATCATGACAGTCAGGTAGGTGAAGTAAAATTGTCTGTCGTGTAATATTTCTTTCTGTATCAGAGGCAGCAGTGTGGTGGGGGAGCAGGCATGAGCCTGTGCTTGTGGGGAGCCAGCTTTTAAGCCAACTCCCCCATGAGCACTGGATCCTGCCATCCTGCCCCACCCTCCCCCCATGCAAAGTTGCCTTCCCCCTGCTCTCCTGTATGTAAACTTGTAACCACTACAAGTTTCAGAGGTTCCATGCTTACCCCAAAAAACCTCAATTTAAAATCCATAGTTAACACTAATTGTTTCATTGCTTGCTTGAATTTTGTGTATTATATTTTACTAAGAGGCAGTAATTACTTGGATTACATGATGTCATTGTCCTTATGTAATATCTGATCTCAGTGATAATTTTGTCAGTCAGTTGAGATCCATAGGTTAATTATGTATTGCATTTCTTCTTGTATTCGTTTTACTCTTGTCTTTTAATTAAACGGAATAGCTTAGTCTACCAGATAGACCAGATCCTGTGCACCATTTAGGACAAAATCAAGAATTGCCTGTTTCTTTGTAGGCTCCAGGAAAATATAATCTCAAAGGCATTTATGGTGCCTACAAATATTATCTCTGTCCTGATCTGTGGAGACTTACTCAGTCAATAAGGGGATAGTTGAAATCTCTCATTATTAATAGGTTTTCTGGGGTGTTTTTTTGTAGCCTCTCCAGTCTCCCGGAATATTTTAGTCACTGTCAGCAATCTTCTCAAATGGTACATAAGAATGGCCGTACTGTGTCAGACCAAAGGTCCATCTAGCCCAGTAGCCTGTCTGCTGACAATGGCCAGCACCAGGTGCCCCAGAGAGGATGGACCGAAGACAACGATCAGCGATTTGTCTCCTGCCATCCTTCTCCAGCCTCTGACAGAGGCCAGGGACACCACTTCTATCCCCTGGCTAATAGCCTTTTATGGACCTAACCTCCATGAAATTATCTAGCTTCTCTTTAAACTCTGTTATAGTTCTAGCCTTCACAGCCTCCTCTGGCAAGGAGTTCCACAGGTTGACTACACGCTGTGTGAAGAAGTTTCTTTTATTAGTTTTAAACCTGCTACCCATTAATTAAACTCCAGAGCTCCTGAGCTCAGTCCAGTGCTCAGCCTACCCGATCACACTCTCCTGTGCTGTAGGAAGTGATCCTGAGACATAAGCCCTAAGGTCTGTGCTAAATGAGTGGTCAAGGAAGGCCTCTGTTCACAGAATCTGGCAAGAAAAGGGCTGATACGGCAAAAACTCACATTCCTAAAATGTTAGTGGGCGCAAAAACATTCCAGAAGGATAGTACCAGAAAATCCCAATGCCAGGCTGGTGGAAACCACACGTGCAGCCAAACATCTAATGACATCCTGTAGCACTAGAGATGTGGTTCTCAAACTTTTTAGCTGCAGCCCACCTCACTGAATGCAGACATTTCAGTGTGCCACCAGCCAACCACCCATGATGACAAAATGGGCGCAGGGGGTGGGTGAGAGGGCAGAGAAGGGGTTGGGGGAGGAGGAGCAGGGTGGGTGTGTGGGTCTTGGTGGGAGGGGGTGCAAGGTCTGAGCATAAGGGGTGCTTACCTGGCTCTGTGCCTCCTGCGCTCCCAGGAATCACCCCCGCTGCTCCCATTGGTCATGATTCTAGCCAATGGGAGCAGTGGGGAAAGCCTGCCTGTTTTTGGAGTCCCTCAGTCTGCTTCTGTCTTGAACAGTTTAGTATCCTAAACAGTTTAGTATCATCCGCAAACTTTACCACCTCACTGCTTACCCCTTCCTCCAGATCATTTATGAATAAGTTGAAAAGGATTGGTCCCAAGACTGACCCTTGGGGGATACCACTAGTTACCCCTCTGCATTCTGAAAATTTACCATTTATTCCTACCCTTTGTTTCCTGTCTTTTAACCAGTTCTCAGTCCAAGAAAGGACCTTTCCTCTTATCCCATGGCAATGTAATTTACACAAGAGCCTTTGGTGAGGAAACCTTGTCAAAGGCTTTCTGAAAATCTAAGTATACTATATCTACTGGATCCCCCTTGTCAGCATGTTTGTTAACCCCTTCAAAGAACTCTAATAGATTAGTAAGACATGATTTCCCTTTACAGAAACCATGTTGACTTTTGTCCAACAAATTATGTTCTTCTACATGCCTCACAGTTTTATTCTTTACTATTGTTTTGACTAATTTGCCTGGTACTGAAGTTAGACTTACCGGTCTGTAATTGCTAGGATCTCCTGGAGAGCCCTTTATAAATATTGGTGTCACGTTGGCTACCTTCCAGTCATTAGATACGGAAGCCGATTTAAAGGATAGGTTACAAACCACAGATAATAGTTCAGCAATTTCCCATTTGAGTTCTTTTAGAACCCTTGGATGAATGCCATCCTGTCTTGGAGATTTGTTAACATTAAGTTTTTCTATTTGTTCCAAAACCTCCTCTAATGATACTTCAATCCGGGACAGTTCCTCAGATTCATCACCCACAAAAGACGGTGCAGATTTGGGAATCTCCCTAACGTCCTCAGCCGTTAAGACTGAAGCAAAGAAATCATTTAGGTTTTTCAAGGCTTTATTGTCCTTGATTGCTCCTTTTATATCTTGATTATCTAGGGGTCCCACAGGTTTTTTAGCAGGCTTCCTTTAGATATATTTTAGAAATACTGCTGTATTTCCATTACTCTTCCCATAGAAATTCTATGGTACAATTTGATTCATTTAAGACTTTTTTATTACGTTTGACTCCCTTGCCATTTGCAACCTACTTTGTCATTTCTATATATTGTGTTTTATCACCTCTGTTGTGGAGGGGCGGGGAGGTGAGAGATCCTTGCAAAGAAATAACTGTCTAGTTTCATAACTTCCCCTATAAATAGCAGTTTCTAAAAAGTCCTCTCATCTTTAACTGTAGCAATGTGAAATGTTATTTATTAACAAAAGTAGGCAAATTTGGAAACAAGTGATATTTGTTCTTAAGCTACTGATGTGCCTTCTAAAATTACACGTTAAAAAATTGGAAAATGTGGAAATTCACAGTTAACATTCTTTAAACAACTCTGTATTGTAGAGGATATATGGTGTATGTTATAGGTGAATGTGGGGGGTTAAGTTTGATTGTGGATTTACCAATTTATTTAAAATTGGTATTTGGAATTGTCAATTAAAAATTTTTACATGTACCTGATTATGTTCATCATTACTGTAACTTACATCTGTCGAATGGAGTTAAGGAATACTAAAAGTATGAGCTCTTACCAGCTTGCTGTCAGAGCAGTTCCTACTTCCTTTACCATTTCTAGCCCTGATTGTGCCTTAGGAATATCTACAATTCAGTTACACACCTGGCCCAAGTCAGTGGGTTCATGCTATGGGACTGTTGAATTACAGTGTAAACATTCAGACTTGGGCTGGTACTCTTAACTGTGGGACCCCCATAACGAGCAGGGTCTCAGAGCCTGGGCCTAAATCCAAATATCTACACCATAAATAGACCCTTGGCCAACCCCTGCAAGCCCAGGCTATCTGCAGGTGTTTAACTGCAGTATATACATGTCCTCTATTACTCAAGATCTACTGCACTCTACTGACATTGGTTTCATGGATTACAGTGTCATAAAATTAATATAGTGGGGATTTGAGGCTCTATATGCTATTTCTATATAAATTGAAAAAAGAGAAAATTCACATAGATCACAACTAGCAAATTGTCACCCAAAAAAGTAGCAGTTCTAATTGAAAAAATGTTATAGCTCTTGTCTCATTGCAAGATCAAAATCTTTCTGCTTTTTGTTTTAGGAAAATACTTTTTCTGGAGGTAACCATCATGGTCCAGTTGAAGCTTTAAAACTAATGTTGTTTAACCTGCAAGCAGTTCATGAAAGCTTTAACCAGAATAAAACTGCTGAACAAAATGATGAGTTAAAAAAAGTAAGTAGTTTCTTATTGATATTAATATTTTATATAATTTTTCTGTAGGACTGTACTTATAAGGGCTAGAATTCAAGCCAAATTACAAAAATTGTTAGTCTGATTCATTCCAGTCAAAGTTAATTACCTATTTTGTCATCTTCTCTATATTCTTAGCAACGCACAACTGTTTCCTAAAGCAGCTTTTCTACTGCTTTATCCGGTTTACTGTAACTCTATCACAAGTAGTGGAACTTGCACCTGTTCTGTTGAGGAAGCAGTTCCACTGCCTAATGGAGCTCCATGTTAGGAAGCTTTTTCCTAATAGGATTCAGCCTACAGTTTCCCCTTAATTTCAAACCAAACCACTGCTCATAGTACTTTGGGCCATCCCAAATCATTCTCTTTGGTTTTAACAGGGTACAAACATCCGAAGAGTATAAACGTGTCCTTCTTACGTTATAAATTAGGCTTGTTATATATTATTTCAATGCTTTTCAACCTGTGTTTTGCAAACCTTTTGGAGTCCACAGACTAGAAGAATTCCAAAGAGATCCACACGTACAATTGAAATAATTTAGTGGTCTGCTTTTAACTTTTACCCACAAAGACCACAATTCAGGAAAGCATTTAAACCCATTGAAACCAAAGGGACTTAAGCATCTGCTTACTACTAAATACATGCTTATTAAGTGCTTTATTGAATTAGGATGTACTTAAGCATAATCTTAAGAATGTTCCTATATTAGGACGGAAGTCAGTCGCTCTTCCCCGTGTCTTATTTTTCATCTTACCTCTTTAGTGAACTTTGGTTTAGCAATATATCTTTTTTAAAGAGATGTTTTGAAATTAATATTTCAAATATGGTCACCCACACACTGTTGGGACAGACACTGTCAGTCATTTGTTTATATTTGACAGATTTCTTTTTTAAGGTTTCAGAAGAAGCAGTTGCTGAATTAAAGCTATGTGACAATGACATGATCCCTATTACCAAGTCCCTTCGGAGGTAAGTGCACTGCTAATTCTCTTACTCCATGTAATTAAACATTCCTTCTGTCTCACAGTCTCACTTGGAAAAAAATTAAGTTATCGTGGATATGAGAATTATCACATCGATTGGAAACTAGCTGAAGAATAAAACAATATTAAAGGTGAATAATAAAAATACATAGCTTTTTATGGTTCTAAGGAGTATCTAGTGAGTAGCTGTAGGGATTTATCATAACATTTACATTATATCTTCTGGGAAGCTTATAAAATTTGCAGGTGATGACTGAAATAATAAAGACTTGGAGAGGTTAGAAATAAGGGACAAGAAATTTTAAAAAGATTATTCCACCTAGAGATTTTTTTTTTAAGTGTAATAACCATGTTACATTATAATTTTCAATAGGTGGAAGAAAGGAATTTGGAGAGAATAGTGGGCAGAAAAAATAGATGTGAACTTGTAATGCAATGTGGTAACAAAAATAGCCCATGTAATTTAATAGAGAGTATGTGTGTGTAGAAGCATAACTGTTGCTTCAAGAGTAACCAGAGGGTTGGTCCTTCCCCAGAAAAGAATTTACTGCTTGGGAATTCTTCATTGCTGATGTCCTTTAGTTTTTTTAACTTCATAATGAACAGTTTTTACTTGAGCGAAACTTTTTTCCATACATGAAATAAATATTAGTCTCATTTAAATAAATTTGTAGGAAACCTCTTGAAAACTAAAATACAGAATGGAAAAAAACCCAGATTTCATAATAGAATCACTTTAAGTGAATATCTCGAATATAATTCTGTTTCAACAAACTGCCAGTCTTCACTATTTATTGTATTATGTTAAATCTGTGTGTGTGTGTGTGTGTGTGTGTGTGTGTGTGTGTAAATAAATTTCACGTGGGACAACAGATGACATCACATCACTCTGTGTATACAGGAGTCAAGCCCCACCCACTCCCAGCCAGGGCCCACATTGGAAAGCTGGGGATGCCTGCAACCTGGCACTCCCCTCCCCTTCCCAGCAGCTAGGGGGAGAGCTATAGCAGCTGCGGCTTTTCCCCGGCCCTTCCCAGCATTCAGGGGACAGGAAGGTGGCCCAGCATGGCTTCGACCCAGCCCTCCCACTCTCAGCAGCTGGGGGAGGGCAAGGAGCCAGGGAGAGGACAAAAGCCAGGGCAGCCTTGGGCCAGGCACTCCCCAGCAACTGAGACCAGGGAAGAAGGATGGGGTGGCCTCAGACCCTCCCTGGCAAAGCAGGGAGAGCCTTGGCCCAGCTCCTCCTGGCAGCCAGGTGGGGAGAGGTGGCCATGGCCTCGGCCCACCCCATATACCCCAGTAGCCGGGAAGGGGAGAGCCAGGCAGACCTCGCCTTAGTCTCCCTCCTTAGTGGCCGGCAGCAGGGCAGGGGGAAGAGCCAGGGCTGGAGTGGCCTTGGTCCTGGGCCCTCCCCAACCAGAGGAGGGGGGTTTGGCGAGTATAACAAGCAGGGGGTATAGCCCCCTACTAAAGTAAAATGTAAAAAATTAAAATAATACAACTCTTAGGTACTGACACATTTCTAACACTGTGGTGCACTATTTTAGCGTACTAATTTGACTTCTAGACCAAGGATTAGTCTATAGTACAAAATTAGACTAATGTAAACCTCCTTGCCATGGACCTTGTTGTGCATTTGTGTACACTTAAATTTGTCTCCCACTGATGAAAGATCTCCTTTATGCTGACATAGTAAGGATGTCTCTCTAACTGGCCACTGAGCTATATAAGTGAGGTTGATGCAGTACGGATATAGACACAGCATTACACTAACAGTCCAACAACTCTCTCTCAATGCCTGACACTGACCACGTTGGTCACAGTTATGAACTGAATCAGATGCAAGGGGTCACAGAGCTGGAGAGTACCCCCGTCCCCTACCTTTTAAGCTCAATTTTTTTAAATGCCTTTTCCTAATTATCCAGCTTGGCTTGGCTGTGCAACTGCCCAGCTGACCATGTTCCATCTCTGGATTAGACCAGAGATGATAGATCTTCTGGGCTTGTGAGAAGAAACTGTGCAGGCACAGCCATATACATGTTTGGACAGCTACTAGAACATAGCACAGCGAATGTAAGAGAAGGAGCATAATAGAGATCAGTAGCAGTGCCATGAGAAAGCAAAGAAATGGCAGCAGATGTGTCACAAGGCCAGGGAGACCAACAATCAATACGGTGTCAAAACAGAGATTTGCCACTTTTATAAAGAGCTGCATGCCATATTTGATGGAGACGACCCCTCCCCCCCCATCACCATGTGTAGTAGATCAAGTCACAGGTCCTTGGTGTGAAATTGGAGGAAGAAGAGAATGGAGGATGTGCAATTGTGGAGTCTTGCTCCATCTCTACCCTTTTCACTCCACATCAGGAGACATTCGGGACAACTATAGCTTCACATGCAGTGATCCATGAGACATGTGTTGCTAAAACAGACATTAAGGTTACTATTCCTTCCCCTTCTTAAGCTCTGTTCCATAAACGTATTAAGGTTTTAATGTATGTGTTTATATTGAGCAGAATTTTGATGTTTTGTTACTTGATAAAATTTGTTTAGAATATGAATATATATATATATATATATATATATAATATTATTTCCAATATATGCTCCAGAATGTCTGGCAGTATTCAGAGCGCCCACTTCATTCTTGTTGTATATATATATATATATGTATATATATAAAATATTATTTCCAATATATGCTCCAGAATGTCTGGCAGTATTCAGAGCGCCCACTTCATTCTTGTTGTACGTGGTGACAGAACTCATAGTATCCATGACACTGTAATAATCATCATCCTATAGGTGCAATGTCAGTATTAGTCATAGATGAAATTACCACATGTTTCTTCTCTGCCAATGCAGCTCTCATTCTGGAGTGCCTATATAAGAGGATTGGGGTGGGTTCAGCATAGAGATCCGCAGATGTGGCCTTTCAAATCTGAAAGTTCTGCAGCGCTGCTCATTATCCCAAATCTGCCCATCTTTCAGTGGTTATTTCTCTGGCTCAGACACATGTTCTGTCAACACCACTAACAATTTTGAATTGGTTCTCACTGTTTCCCAAAGCAATTTGACTTCCAGAAAATTGTCACGTTCCCCAGGGCTCTTGTGGCTCTGCAGATACTGGAGGATCATGCATCCTGTGCTTGGAACACTTGCGAGGACAGTGCAAAGCTATGTAGGCTCCCTCCCTGCTTCTGTCGGAGATGGACAACAATAAGTCGTCAAAAGTTTGTGGGTCTTCAAAATAGGCACAAAAATGGACTAGATTTGGATGTATGATGGAAACTTGACCTTGCAATCGCAGTTGTCCCAGCACAACTCATTTCTGCCCCACCAGGCATTATAAAACTTTCCAAAGGCAGTGTACTGCATGGTGACAAGTTGTCCTCTGGGATATCTATCCATGATGCAAAAATGAGGAGTCCTGTGTGGTACCTTAGAGACTAACAAAATCTGTTAGTCTCTAAGATACCACAGGACTCCTCGTTTTTGCAGCTATAGATTAACATGGCTACTCCTGAGACTTTTTACCTATGGTGTGTTACAATAGGTACTCCTGGTGAGTATGTGCAATGCCATCCTAAGGATCCCAGTATGCACAAGCAAATCTAACTTCAAAAGTTTTATGCCAAAATAATTTGCTGCAGCAAAAGGTTGTAGTCAGACATGCCCCAATTGTAAAATTTGATAAAATTAATGTATTCTTATTTTAAGCATAAAAATTTGAGGGCATAGAGAAGGAGAGCATCTCTAGTTCAATATAGTAGATTGTGAAGAAATGACTTAATTTTGTCATGTGCACATGGACATTTACCTGTACCTTAAGGATTTCCTGGTATGTTCATGTAATGAGTTTTCCAGTAGAGTTCCTGGGAAATTACTGTGTAGTGGTGAGCTGGCAAGCTCCATATATGTTACCAAAAAGACTAAACTGTTTTAATTCTAAGAGAGAAGAAATAGAAACATTGGCCCTGAAGTCCAAACCAGAATCTCTAAGTATAAGTTGTGGAAGGACTCAAATTTAGACCAAAACTTACTAGTTTTGAGTCACGTGAAACCCTGCAATTCTTTTTTTAATAAACTATCTCACTCAAGTAAGTAATGAAAGCAAAGGACCAGTCTTCTCCTTTAAAACTCCTTGATTAAAATGAAAATAAAATCAAGACATAATATATCAATTCCGAGTTATACAATTTGAAGCACTAATTGTTTTGCCAGGCAAAATCCTTGGCCAAGAGGAGATTGAGGTTTTTTTATATAAATCAACCCAAAATATCATCCTCACATACTTTTAATAGTTCTCAATAGTAAAAATAGATATCTATAGAAAGAATGAAGAAATGCAGTATAATGTTGTCTATAGTTCAAATTTCCTTTATATCAGCCTTTAAAAGATACTTAATTTTTCAGTTTAATGTATTAATTTGAAAAGATTCCTCAAAGCTTAGTAAGTTGTATTAAGGAAATACTTCCATATCTGTTAAATTTACATAACTTAAATCATAATATATATTTGGTTGATAAGTCTCTTTTCTGTGTTTTTTAATTTAGGGCTTTACACCATTTGTCCCGGCTCAAAGGTCTAGTTGAAGATACCACTAGCAAACAAGATCAGAAATCTCAACATCCAGAAGATAGAAAGGAAAAAAACAGTATACAAATCAGAAATATTTTGTTGGAAACAGAGTAGTCTATGTAATGAAAATATTAGTACCTGTATAGTAACCGTTAACTTTCGTTTTTAAGAGCTGTTTCATAGGTCATTTTTTAATTTGTATTTAATTTGAGAGAAGTATGTATTATTTTAAAAGTACCATACATCGTTTCTACATTTCTTTTAATATTCAGGTGAAAACTCCAAAGTGTATGAATAATAAATGTAAAATATAATCTGTCAAGATTTATAGTATAAAAATATTTATTTTATTAAAAAAAACTTGAGCAGCCTTCAAAGAAGAAGTTCTGCGTTCTATAAATAACATAATTCAGGAACTCAAAATGCTATTCTGCATTCAGTGACTCTATTACATCCCCCAGATTCTGCTACAAAATTGATAGAAATAAGAAAAGTTACCCAAACAGGAAGGCTGTGTAACAATCTACTATGTATTAGAGTTTGGCTGTTTGTTTGATCAAGAACTACAGGTTGGACCTCCCTGCTCTGGCACCCTTGGGATGAGGGATTTTGCCAGACCATGGAAGGTCATATCTGGCTACCTGCTTCTGGCTCCCCCCAGCCTTGGACCAGCCCCCTGGCAAGCTCCCCCTTGTTTCCAGCCTCGCTTCCCTGCCAGTATCCCCACCTCCTTCCCCACTATGCTGGGCAGCCCTGTTGGGTTGCGCCTGGCTGCCTAGTTGTGGCACGCCAGGCAGCCCAACTGCGGGGAGCATAGGCACCAGCCCTCCACCGGGACTCTGGTCCTGTTGTATGTTGCCAGACCGGGGAGTCCCAGATTAGAGGTTCAAGCTCTACTTGTAAATGCTAAGAGCTAGGATCACCAAACTTGGCATACAGCTTCCTCTTAACCAAAAATTTAAGCAATAGAAGGGTGTGATTGTGACAGGAAAACAGGATGTGCTAAGAATGGTATTGCTTCTCATAAAACCAAACAGAAAACAGACAGGATCACCAAATCAAATACAGTCCTCAATATTTACATAACTAAATGAATGTTGAAAGAGACTGAACCAAGATGAATCAGAAAAATTGGATGAACTTGGAATAGGCTTGCTTCTCAATAAATCTTACAGAAAAGAGATAAAACTGAGGGTATGTCTACACTACCAAGCTAGTTCGAACTAGGAGGGTAATGTAGGCATACCGCACTTGCAAATGAAGCCCGGGATTTGAATTTCCTGGGCTTCATTTGCATAAGTGGGGAGCCGCCATTTTTAAATCCCCGCTTGTTCGAACCCCATGTAGCGCGGCTACACGGGGCTCGAACTAAGGAG